CTAGATTTGCTTCCTGCAATAGCAGAAAAAAAGAAATCTTAAAATTGATCCTTATTAACATGAAAGCCAGTGAAGTGGCATTACCTGGTTTTGAGTGGTTTTTTGGGCCTCAGAGGGAAGTGGCTTTTGCTCTGTATCCTTCCATGTTTCACCTGCTCTCACATAAGCCTCCTATAGATTTAGCTACTTTTAAACTTTATTTTAAGGTTACTCCCACAGTCAGACAATATTGTATTACTCAGAAAAACATTTTGTGTTTGAGAGGTTCCATTAGAAATTAGAAAATAAAAGCAGATTTCTTTTAAGGATAACCCTGTGATGCCAACCAATATAAACACAAATCCAGATGTTTTTGCAAGCTAATGTGAGGAAAAAGCTCTGGTCTTCATTTACATTTTATAGCAAATATTTTGCTAGGAGAAAGTGGAGAATGTTGACATTCCACCACTTAGACCCCACTCAGAGTGATGTTCTGAGTGCCAAAATGTCAACATTTGTTGCAGTTTCCTTCACATTAACATGCTAGAAACACATCTGGCATATTTCTTTCTCTTTTTTCCTCTTTTTTGTTCCCCACTGTCTATTGTAGATAAGAAAATGCAAAGGTAAGATAATTCTCATTTCTCTCAGCCAGCCGTCTGTGTTCAGCTGTCTTGAAAAAAGAAAAAATCCCAAACAAAACCAACTCAAAAAGCAGAATGCAGCCACCTCAGATGGACATATTTTACACAAAGATTTTTATGATGCGTAATCTATAAGTTTATATCCCTTTTAGRCTATATATTTAATATAATTTCCCTCCTATATTATGTTTTTTGCCTCTCAGAGGACCTATAATTGTTATAGGTAATAAAATTAATTTTATCTGTCTGTCTTTGTTTTCATTTGCCAGGTAATCTCATAGCCAGTACTGTCTGGCAAGTCCATTTCATGGCTGAACTGCATCCCCCAAAGCTCTTACAGAAATACTTTGATTTTGGCCCAGTTCCTCATCAAGCTCACATGAAACAACCATTCCTCTTTCCCAGAAACATTCGGTGTGTCTTTTTTCCACCCATATCTTTAATGTTTTGGAGGCTTCCCTGCCTTGCTCTGGTTCTCCACTGGTGAACTGAAAAGATTTTCTCACTGATTCTGGAGCAGATAYTGCCTCCTAGTCAAAAGGGAAGTAAAGAAGAGAAACTTCCAGCTTCAGGTGCCATGAAATGCAGACAGGAGGCTTGGTGTCCTTATCCAACTTTCCATTATGGATTTATTAACTTTCTCTGTATTTTTCCTTAGAATCTGACTGCCTGAAGAACCATTTAATAGTATCTGTGTCCCTGATAATTCACTCTTCCACTAGCCAACAGAGGTAGAGTCCCAAAGAATCCACAGTTGTGTAGATATGAATTATTTTGAATTATTCCACAGGCTTCTGTCTTTTTCCAACTGTGTGAAATTTCCAGGATGAAAAGGAGATCTAACCATGATAGTCAGACTTATTTATAACATTCTAGAAATAGAAAATGCTGTTGGGAAGTATCTACCTTCTTCTCCTTCAGAATTTCATTAACAGTTGTATTGCTTTGTGTGACTGTACTTTTGAAAAAATTACAATATAAGCTACTCTCTCATGTACAGGAATTTCTGTGTGAACTAAAAAGAAGCAAAACCAAACAAACCCCAAAACACCAAACCATTCAAAATAAATTTAAAAAAAAAAACCAAAACCAAAAAAAAAACCAAAAAAGCCCCACCCCTAAACTCATTAAAACTAATCCCCACCACTTAATCCCGAAGAGAGCATTTTTTTCTAAATTTTCTCACTTGACCTGTGACACATTGTGTGAATGCTGGAATGCTGAGTGATAAAAGCAGACASCTGATACCCTGTGAAAAGAATCAAATGGCTACATTTTCCTTTAAAGAGAAACTTTACGCTAGATGCTTGAGGAGGATGTATCTCATCTGACACAGAGCTCCAGGGTGATAAGTTGTAGTGTCTGGTGGCTTGTTCCTCAATCACAAATTCACAGATTACTTGGGCCACACTGTACTCTAATTATGCAGTGGTTAGGTGTTTTCAAGTGAAGAGTTAAGTAAAAGTAGAAGGAAAGTAGATGATCACTTCTGTGTATTGTGAAACCCACCATTCTGGAAAGAAAACTTGAATTTTTATTTTGTTGAGTGTTTCATTCCATGAGAGCCCTTGTTCGCTTGGGGTAAGATATGAATCAGATCAATTGAACAAYTCACTGCTTTAAATTTCCCTTATTCTTTGGATGAAAAGGGGAATATGTTCAATGTTGTGTCTGTGGGTCCTCTCACCTTACAGAGTAATCACATACAAACAGCATGGCAGTGAGATTGAATTCCCTCTGTTGGAATCCACATTTTTACACTTTCTTCTCCTTTTTTTTCTTCCATCTTATTTTCTCCTCATTTCTATATTCCCCTTGGTTGTCATCGCTATCAAAGGGATAGCAAATCCTGAGAGCTTTTTTTCCTGGTGTTCAGTATAACTATTGCTGTTTTCTTATTCCACTGCTAATGTTTGCGAAGTATTTTTTATTTGCAGCATTTTATTAAGGTCTTTGCAAACTGGACATTTAGAGGCTCAAGGACGTGCTTCTAACGTTAAGCTTTGCTTACTTTGTCTTCTAGRAGAGAGCAAAATCAGGCATCATTGTAAAAGTTTTTCAAAAATTCAAATGGGATTGTTTTGCAAACACAGAATGCTCCTGTAATTTCCATCTTATAGATAAATAAAGAAAAATCACATCAGAAGTTCTAGAGGTGTAGAGTAAAACCTCTCCCACTTCYGTAACAGGAGATAGCAACATTTAAAATTTTGAAATTCATATGATTATATGCCTCCTTATTAATTTCAGACTAAATGCAGTACCCTGTATCATGTGCTACGAAAGAACAGGATTAATTTTGTGGTCACATTTTAATTTTAAATTATTTAATCTGTAAAGACACTGTTTCTGAACTCATTAATTGCGTGCCAAATTCAAGTGTACCCTTAGAAAAAGTCTAGTACATTTTATTTTGGCCTTTTTTTTGTTGTTGTGGAGCCTACATTAGATCAAAGAGAAAACATGTTTGATCTCTCTGTGATGATTTTTAACAGTTTTGTGAAGAATTCACAATTTGGAGATGGATGTAATTTTATTGGCATTTGTCCTACAGAAGTTTTTTCACAATTTTCTATAATTCTTGGAAAGACCTGTTAAATATATCTGTTTAGCAGAATGGCTACAGTGGCCTTTTGTTTGCATTTTTTCTTCTTTTTGCCTCTCTGGTTCCAGTTTTTGATTTCAACAAGAGATAGACATGAAATCCAGGAGAAGCTGTCCCTCAAATGCAGGCTGGTTTGGATAATGAACTTTTGGAACCATCCAGTAGAACTTCTTAGATCAGTGAGAAGTTCATTTATGTTTATCCAGTAAAACACAGACACTTTTCATGGTCCCAGACATGACACTGAATATAACCTCACAACTCCTAAAGTGTCTTGCATTCTTTTAATGCATTATTAAATCCCTCACCCATCCCAGAGACACACCCTTCATGTTTTTAAATTCATTTTTTATTTTAACTCTTTTTGATCAATAAAAAGTTCAGCTCTTTTTTCTATCCTCTCCAAATAAGAAAAAAAAATTGAAGAGTAACTATATATTTCTGGGATGTTTATCCCACTTCATCCATTCTTATTCTTAGAAGAATAAAGATAATAAATATGACAAACGGATAAAACTTTTCACAGTCCTTAAAGTAATCRTAGGGTGAGTTTTTTTGTACTTTTCACTGTTCTTTACTTGCCATTGCCTCTGGAAAAAAATTTACATTTCCCTCTAATACGTGTCAAGTATTGCTTCATTCCAGAGCTGGTTTAAGGTCTCCGGGGTACAAAGTGCAGGCCCAAGTTTTGAAATGTTCCTGTGGTGTGATTTGCACTCAAGACCACAAGGTTTTTGTTGTCTCCAAATGCAGTCCTTGTTGATCCAGTTTCTGCTACTTCTTTTTTTCTATTTCCTCCATCCCTGATCTTTGTTTCTTGAGCATTTTTGCTTCTTAATCTTTCCCCCCTTCTGTTTCCAGGAACTTTGCTGATGGAAGCATTCCCCAACTTTTATTCTTCTGTGCAAATTAGTCTGCTTTGCGTTGGGAATGGAGCGACACCATTATCCGATGTGTAGGAGGAAGAAGTTTGGATTGGTGCATTTGTTCCAGATGCAAACAGAGGTCGCTGTCTCAGTATTCTTTTATATTCCTGCTTTAATCATAAACAGAAAAGCATGTCTTGTCTTTACATGCTGTTTTTAGACACATGAAGAAGCTATTTGCCCTATTGCCAACTTTTAAAAATATTCAAAATACCCAGTCCTGAAGGAATGAAGAAAGCAATATGATCTTCCTATTTACCTATGAGCAAATCAGGGAAGGAACTTGATAAATCTGTGGCCTGTTTGAAAAATAAGGTCAGAATTTGTAATTTGTGGGTTTCTGTAGGTGTTCTAACAGTTCAGATAAATGTGGCATTTACTGTTCTGCCACCACGAAAGTTGCTTGAAAGAGGAGCTCTAAAAAAAAAACCACAAACCACCCTTCTAAATTTTGTTCTGAAACACACAAAAGAACTTTTATCTTTTTTTTTTCTTTTGTGAAAGGAAAATTGAAAGATCACAGCATCCTGAATGTTAGCACAGCAAACCAGACCAATCCTGACACCAGTCCTATTGGCAACTCCTTTCAGTAGTTTTGGCAGCCAAATGTGGGGCCAGCCTGGAGCATGAGGAAATCCAGCCAGGCAGACAGCTACAGTCCTGTACATCAGTCCTGGAAACCACATTCCAGAGCTTGGCATCTGTGCTCCAAGGCTTGCCAAGCACACCCTATGAGTGACCACATGAGTGCTGGCTTCTGCAGCAGAGAAACAGATGGAAAGCAGGAGGCCTGTGGGGAACACGCTTCGATTGCCCGTCTCTTTCTTCTAAAAAAAAGATTCTCCTGAGAAGTCGAAAGTGAGGCTGCACATATTTTCTCTAAGGTATAGAAGGAATATTGCCTCTTATATCCATTTTATTTTTTTTTTTATTTTCTGTTTTGGCTGAAACTGTTCTCACTCATTACTATAGGACATTATCTTACAAATGTTACCCCAAGTCATTCACAAAAAAATTAGTTAGGATGAAAATCCAAGCTTGACAACCCACAGTACGCAGAGAGCATTTCAATTTCTCATTCCAAATCCTCATTCTGTGCCATTAAAAGGCTTTTGACTTCCATTAATTTTTTTTTTTGCCTGTATATGGGCTAAAGATGATTCTATTACATGAGGAGCTCTTATAAAAACAGGAATAGTTATAGGTGTTCAGACTAAGGAGGGTTCCAGRATCTGGGCTGAGACTGGATCTGAGCCTCCCCCTACCAAAGGGGCTGTGCCACATGACCTGGGAAGACATCCTGGAATAACACAAATTACAATCCATGTTTCCTAGATCAGCCAGAATCAGAAGTTGCATAATTATATGGCCCATTAGAAATTCTGAGTGGCTCAGATATCCTTAGAGCAGCTGAGAAAGGCTGTTGCAATCTTGGTGATCCATCAYCCACAACTAAACTGCTGGAAATCAGCTCAGCTACTGAACCACCCAGGAACACAATGGCATAATGATGAATTAGAGAAAAACTGTCATCTTTATTGAGTTAAGCTGCTGGCTGAATCTGTGAGAAACWCCGACAGCAGGTGATTTTATCAAAAAGCAATGTAATCTCAGAGAAACAGAGATACAATACACTTCTGAAAGTCARCCTCTGAAATCTGGAGATGAATTTGGTGATGTCATGAAATCAGACCATTTCCTGGAGGTGARTGTGGTGGTTTCCTGAAGATTATTTCTAGCTATTACAAGTTCAATAGCATTCAACCATTACTTTGTTTTCATGGTGCTCTCTAGGGAACCAGTGAARTAGTGGAAAACCTATTAACTTCTAAATTTAGACCTGTTTCCTCATTTCATAGAGTTAGCTAACTACAGCATGCCACTGCCATGTATGATCCGCTCAGCTGCATGTCTTGGTCAGTTATKCCACTGTGGGCTACACACCAGATCCTCAGGATTGTTATTAATAATATATTAATAATATGCTATTTAGTCATTTTCAAGGCTGTTCCACTAAATTTGTGCACTATGAAATCTTATTCTGTGTATATGTGGGGATCCAGCCTTATAATCACTAATAACATACAGGAAAATCTTCATATCTAAAGCTCCATAGAGGATAAATTAATATTTGCTTGCCTAAATCCAGTTCTACAAAATTTCTTGAAGTTTATTTCAGTGCCATTTATGTTTCTCTGCTTCAGTCTATTGTAGCATTAGGGCATATAATTTACACATTCAAAATCAAATCATGTGCAGAGGAGACAAACATCCCTGTCCACCTGTTTTTTCATCCTCATTCATTTTGATTTTCTTTATGATGGTCATAAACAAGACTTAATTTCTTCAGATTTCTGTASCAAGATCAGTTCCCGTGAAGTGAAACTCAGCCTGTGGTTTATTGGAGAATGCCAGCCTAGGCTCGACTCTTTTTGTTGGTAGAAAGAAAGCAAATGACAATGAACAATTTTTTTTTTTTTTGTAACAAGTGAAATGGAATATTTTCAGCAGTATTTATTTATATAGATACAATGTGTTTCAATTCTGGGCTTTCTTAGTTTATTAATTCTTGGTTTATTCAATCCTGGAATATTTTATCTAAAGAAATATGGATTTGCAGAACTGTCAGTGATGGGATTTGTTGCTTGTGAAACACTAGAAGGAAMAGATAGTACTGTCTTATGCATTTTGATATGTTTGCTGTAGCATGTCTCAACTCGGCAATTTTAAATTGCATTTCTATGTACTGATTTTTATCACAGTGCTWAAAACTTTTAAAGATACAGTACTGCATTGTAGTTTTCAAGTTCTATTTTAACTTCAGGAGAACACAGGAAAGTAAAGCAACATATGAATATAGTCAGTAAACATGCATTTGATTAAGTTTTTCAGATAATTTCTGTAGTTAGACTGAGTTCATTGATGGTGAGGAAGAGATGTTTAAACAATAAATAGTAGTAATAAATAATTAAAGTGATAAGTAAGTAAGTAAATAAATAATGAAATAAACTGTAGTCCTAGGGTAAACTCTTTTCAGCTGCAAATTCACAGCTCTATGAGTCCTTATCATTGAGCTGTTTGAGTAATGTGAAAGCCAGAATCAACTTGCTCACAGCAACTGGCTAAGTGCCATGGAATATTTATTTGCTTCTGACAAAATTCTTTTGCTGATTCCACATCCTATGTTGTATCAAATATCTGTTATGTGACCCTRCTTGGTAAGACTCTTGCAGCTACCCCTTTTTGGGATCAAGAGACTGCCTTTTTGCTTTTCCCTCTTTTGGAAAGGATCTGTAAGACATCCTTCCCTCCCCAATTCATATAGCTCTATTATTTTAAGTAGCTATGCATAATGTTCATAATGAATCCACCTGCCAAGCTTAGCAGCATTTCTTCTGTGCAGTCACTGCTAAATAATTCTTGCTTCTTTTATATTGATCATAATATTTTGTGATCAAGATTAATTGTTTATCCCATGATTGCAGAGCACAGCCCCACCACCCCTAGATGTCACTGTAATAATACAAAAAAAGAGTAGCAGCCTTAAACAGTAGCAGAATTGTTTTACAGTTAAGATGGTCTTCAATGAAATTCAGGGAACTTCATAAACAGATTTCAATCTATGGATTAGGGAGAAAAAAAAGAAGATGCTTTCTTCACATTCACCTGTATTTTGCACAAGGTTCTGTGCCGGTGGAAGTCAGTGGAGAACACGGTTCAACCAACAACTTGGTTTCAGCTTCTGTTCTGAAAAGCTTTATCATGAAGGTCTTATTTTGTGCGAAGAACCTTCTGGGCTGTGGTAAGCATTGTCACATTTTATTTGTTCAGGTTTTTTAGTTCTACTGGACCAACTTCTGAAAAATATTCACATTTCATATATAAAACTGTATTTGTTTATTTGCACACACATAAAAATAAAAATATGCTCTTTTCCTAGGCAAATAAAGATATTTAAGTGAATAATACTGTTCAAATTTTTGTGTTGGCATATTGAAAAAAAAAAATGAAGCCCAAGGGCTGGTTTTCCTAGGCTGGAAAAAAAGTTAAAAAATTTAAATACAATAAATAAATAAGTATGAAATAAATACAATGCTTGAATTAGCAAAGACAAATCCATGACTGTTTTTCTCTGCATGCAAAAGACATATGCAATCTGTGAAATGTTTCTACCGTAGGCTGAASGGGAAAGGGGTGTAACCAGCATTTCCTTTTCAGTCTGAAAATTTACAGGAATGCAGCAGGACATCTGTATGGAATTAGTATGACTTCTCTCCCTCATACATTGAGATTCATGTGTCTGCAAACTCAGAGTCTGTAATTTTAAATCCAGATTTATTTTACCTAATAAAAACATCAGGACTGATTGTACCTTAGGGTGTAATATTTAAAAAGATCAAAATTAAGTTTTTAAGGAAGTGAAAATAAAAACAGATAGTTTCATAATGTTTTAAAGTCTTTGAATCTTTAGTTTTCTTTAGATATGTTTAAGGTGTTGTGTRTAGCAGCCTATACACCAAACCTTATACCTGTATTTGCAGGCAATACAGCTGGATTTTGGAGCTTCATTGTACTCAAAAAATCCTCCTTGCTGGAAGGCCACATGCCAAACATTTCTGCCAGTTTTCTTAYGGAATTTGCACTGGTGCGTGACCTATTATTTTTCCTTCCTATAGTCTTTATGCTGTATATAACATAATAATTACAACCTGCTGGCATAGAGCTGCTGAAATACATTAATGCAAACTCTGAATTGTTCTTAGTACATGTAGTRCTGTCACAGTTGTTTTAAACATTACATAATGACAATATAAAATATTATCTATTATACATTTTATATAAAACACGTAATAGATTTTATTTCTCCTTCAAGCGTGGACCTTCTAAAAAAAATCTCCTGAACAATGATCAGAGTTGTGTAAACCAAGATTAGACTGATCCAGTCTGCTTCAATTTGCAGTTGAGCTTTGCCTTTCATAGGTGTGTGCCTAAATCAAGGAACTGTTGTAATAATAATTTAGCATGGGACATCACAAAATCCTGTGCCGCAGGCACTGGGATAACCCTGCTTGAGGAGGGATGTAGGACTACATACCCCACCATGGTCCCTTCCCACTTGAACCATTCTGGAATTCTAGGATTCCATGAACTCGACATTTGCATCAGTCTTACAGCATGTAACAAAGCCTACCTGTACTTATATTCCATGAAGAAGAGACAATTCCTCTTTTAATTTGGTAAAAATTAAGTTTTATTCAGGATGCAAAACCAATCATGGAATCATAGAGTTGTTGAGGTTGGAAAAGGCYTCTAAGATCAATGGGTTCATCAAAGAGGAAGAACACAAAATGATCAGCACAGAAAACTGTGACTATTTTTTTGTTCAGGATTACTTATRTTTAGATAATGATACTGTTTAATTCAGGGGTTATCAGAGAACATGTCACCTCAATGAATTTTAGGACAGCTGAATCCTTGCCTTCTAAATATGTTGTTCAAGAGAAGCTGAATCAGAAAGTAGTGCTTAGAGGAACCTATAAAAGGACAACTACTTAAAATCATCCAGCTATAAAGTTACTTTATGTTTAAATGACTAAAACCACATTGTCCAAGTTTAATGCTAGATGAAGCTTCTCCTGAGTAACTGAGCCCTTTTATGTGCTACACCTACCGACGCCCCAGGGTAGAGCTTCTAGAATAAAATAAAATAATTATTGACTGCACACATTTTCTTAACCTGGGAATTACTGTAGCAGCTCTGTGATTCTTTTTTCAAAGACAAAACAGAATATCCAATAATAACTGTTGTGTTTTTTATCTTGTTTAACTTGAATGACTTTAAAATAGACACAGRTGTTCAAGCTCTGTGTAAGGATAGCTTCAACCTCCTGTTTAATTTACGATGTATACACAAATCTTATTTCTATTGCTAGGTTTTGTCATAAAATCCGGTTAACTTCTTCTGTATCTAGAAAAAGAAGAGAGATATTGCTTAATTTATTTCTTTTTTTTTACTTTCTCATTTCCTTCTTTTTGATCACAGATTTCAGAGTTTAAAGAGCAATTTAACTCCTGTTAGCTGTCTAAATTAGGAAGATTTCACTTTTGTTTGCCATCACTTAAAAACAAGGAAAAATCAGTACAGAGCTTTATTCTTCTATGTTAAAACAAAAAAAAAAATCCCAAATAATATGAGGTCTTACAGACAGAACACACAAATCACTTTTGGAATGATGTGCTAAAATATTTTGCCTTGTTTACCTTTTTATKTGTGTCACAAAGGTAAAGAATCAGCTATTGCAAGCTGGATAATCCTTTTGTAGCTGAAGCTTTGCAGCATTGAGAGATCTTTTGTTTAATTGCATGGAATAGTTCTCTCATGATGTCTTTYGATACTTTTATGCTTTTTTTGAATTGTTTTATGTCTTAAGTATCTTCCTCTTTTATTTTATAAGCCTCACTTAATGTTTTTTTTTTTTCATTTTCAATATACCTCAGTCAACATACACTTCCTATACRTTTTTTCCTTCTGCAATGGAAACATTGTTTTGAGACCACTACTAAACTCTTTTTGGATTTTATAGATGATAAAACTGAAAYGGTGGAATAATTTATCTATTTGTTACCTGTGCAAAGGACTTTATGTGAATAAATATTTTGTTTATTTATGTGAATAACTATGTGAATAATATATTCATTTATATATAATAATTAGGTGAATAATATATTCACTTATATATAAAAGAATTATTAAAAATATGAATCAAAATTGCTTCTTAAAAGGCTGCAATGTCCTTCATATGCATTGAAATTTTCCAGATGAGCACAGAGATAGAAGAAATCAGAACTCTTCACTTATTTTTTATTAATAATAAGTTTAGAGTGGRAATAAATGAGTTTTATCTCTTTTTGCTTACTAGTTTTCATTTTCTGTTTACCAAATTATGGGCATATACCAAATCAGTGCCTATATTTAAACAGTGGGGAAAAAAGGAAGTTAGGCCAACTAATATAATTCCTGGCCTGAAATAATGCTGAAAAAGAAATAATTCAAGTTTCCMTGTGAAAACAGTAACATCAAAAGTAACCAAAAGAGGCTCATCAAAAGGAAGGAAAGCACAGGCAGAGAACAAAGCAGATAGACTGAATTTAAAAAAAAAATAGATATTGACTATGTCATCTGAGCAATGCTTTTGAAACTGTCTCAAATGACAATCTTCTAAGTAAGACAAAAAATCACAGTATAGACTAAAATATTTAATTTTCTAGTATTTATTCCATTTCCTGATTAATGATGATCTGGAGATAGCACAATTACACTGGAGGACAGGATTAGAAATCAAAATGGTCAGATATATTAGACAAATGGTAAAAAAACCCCAAAGATAAAACCAACCAGCCAAGCAAAAAGAGCAAGCAGCTCAGTAGTTCTTACTGGTAAACTGCTGGCATCTGCAGCAGATCACCTGCAGCTGTGCAGAATTCCTGATGTACAGGTTAAATGGTCAATTTGTCCATTTTCTTTTTGCTTTGCAGCAGACAGGRTTAATCAAATGAATTTCCAAGGTATTTTCCAAAAATATTTTAAAATAGATCTCTTGTGAAGATACCAGAGAAATTTACCAGATGAAGGCTGGCACTCCTGAAAATGTAGAGGTGTGGATTTGCTCCAGTGGGGAAGAGGGAACAGAGCTGAAAAGAGATTTTTAATCCTGACATTGTCTTGTAATTTCTACTTTTAATACCTGTGCTGATCTAGATATCCACCAYTGGGTGTTTTCAGTGATTCAAATAATGAATAGCTGAGAATGTTTTTAACTGTCAAAAAAAGGTGGCCATTGAGGGACATAATTTTCAGCACTGTAAGAAATTATTTACACCAAATAAGTCTAGTTTAAGGGGATCCTGCATTTGCAAAATGATTGTCTATGTGTTTACTTTGTTTCAAAATGTCAAAATAATCTGACTGGCTTTACTTAAAAGGATCTCCCACTCTTGCTTGGGAAGAAAATTTAATTATTTAGGGAAAGTGTGAATTAAAAATAATCTGTATTTTGAGCTTTCCTCTGGAAATATTTTCTGTATGCAGATGTACACTTGTATGTTTTCTGAATATCCACTATGTAAAACATTTTGAACAATTTTTTATTTGAATTGGTCAGACTTGAAGTGGAAGTTCAGCTAAAGCAAAAGAGGCATCACTCATTCTTCTCCGTCAACTAYGCAATGTAAATATATGATGGCATCCTCTGTGAAAAATGCTTTTCTATTTAATAACATGTAGGGAATAGGATAGGAAACAATCTGGGATTAGCAAATTCAAATGCTTTTCAGGAGTTGGGAGRTATTATGTAAAATATCCTTCCTGAAGAAATCTAGTTTCATCCCACAAGTACTTCTAGTCTTAATTTCTACTTTTTCTAATGCAGACCTGTGTTCCCATATTATCCAAGAAGCTTCTAATTATAGCAGTAACTTAATTTATCATATTGCAATTTTTTTTATTAATTTCCTTCCATATTTTTAAGAGAACTGCTCTTAGCTAAAGAACCCAAGTCCTTTGGCAATGATTTTCCCTCCTTAACTGTAGCAGTGGCTTTTATGGACAGCTATTCCARCTTTAACAAATGTAGTTCTAACGTGAATGATCAGAACAAAATCATTACTTTAAATCATGTCTGCACCCATGAAAATTATTTATGATCCCCATTCCAACAAAGACAGCTTTCTTGGTAAGCATTAACTTGTATTCATATTTATGGAGACCAAACTTATCAAAAGTAAGACATCTTGCCCAATCTTGACCAGTGAATGTTTAGTAGTTTTTTGTGGTAGTCCCTTTCAAAAATCTATCAAGGGGCTCTCTAGTTCTCTTTGGGTTTGAATGCAAGGAGGTCTCCCGAGTCTTACAAATCATTTTACAAATCACTGGTAGCTGCTGACTTTGCTTTTGTTACTGTGCTCARTATTTCCACTTTCAAATTATGTCTCTCTTGGCTTTAAATCATAACTTTCCCACTCCTTAATTTATAGCCCACTCTTGCTGTGTAATTGCTTTTTTTTTTTTTTTTTTTGTTTTGGGGGGGGGGGGAAAGAGTTGTTTGTTTATTTGTTTCATTGCTTTTCTTTTTTTTCCCTTAGAGATTTTCTAGTTTCTTTTTTCCAGATGTTCTGTCTTTAATTTCTGAGAATTGCTTCTTTATCCCTGTGTTTCCTGATATCGAAGACCCTGAGCTTATCTCTAATCAGTTCTTTGCTTTTGATTCCTTGTGTTCTATCTACCYATTCTTTGTGTTTTCTGGAGACAGTTACTCACCCAAAGTGGCATGGAATCCTTCTCTTTTCCTGACTACTTTAGTTGCATTTCATTCATGACAGGTTTARTAGCTTCTGCTTTGAAGAAATTCCAAACCTCACTTACAATCAGTAGGCTCCTGAAMCCTTCTACCCAGTGGTCTTTATAAAATAGCGCATTAAATAAGTCCCTTTGTTTCTCAAGATCTTTAAAGACAAACCCTTCCAGGCAAAATTATTTTTGCTAACCTTACAAACTTAAGTGAAATCAGCTTCTGATCTGCCAGAACATAGGTCTGTAAATGGAGCCTCTTTTAGAGCCACTGGGCAGTAAGTTGGACAAGAGAGTGTCTCTGTGACCTCTTGGCTAGGGGGTTTTGTTTCAGAGATAACAAAACATGGCTCTTTGCTTCTCATCCCAGAATTAGAAGTGACAGAAAATATGCAGGTGGAGATAAATTAAGCWGTTACATGTTCTAGTTTTGTTTTAAAACAAAAGAAAAAAGTTTCCTGGTAGTTCAAAGGGACAAATCTTCTCAGATGACAAAACCAGATTGTGTCCTGCTGTTATCATAATGACCTGCAGCCWGCACTTAGGGACTGTCAGCAGGGCGATGTTTTTGTTTGCATTGAATTTGTTTGCTTTCTACAGGTCGCTAACTATTCTGCACATCTAGGTGAATGCGTGCTTTTGGCCTCAAAAAGCAATCGGGAAATTTCCTAAGCCGGGGTTTTGTTAGGATGGTTATGTAGGGAGAAACAGCAAGCAGGGAACAAGTAAAATTTTCAGGTGTGAACTTGCAAAAACTGCTCCTGAAGGAAACTGCCAAATAATCCAGTACCACAAATCCCTGTTCTTGGTGATTTTGATGTTCGGTAGCAAAACCACCATCCCCGAAGGCTCAGCTAATCCGAGCCGGGAAGGAGCTCTCGGGTGTCAGGAATGTGTCAGGCGTTCCTGTGTCCGACCTCACTAGCAGGGCAGGTGTTGGAGTCCCGGACACATCCTTGGATGCAGCACTTTCCGTGGGAGCTCCCTGTGCTTCCACAGGGATGGCTTTTGCTCACAAGCCTCTCCGCACGGGCTTGTGTCCATCCAACGGCGAAGTTCTGAGGTTGKGGTGGTGCAGGGGAGACGAAAGAATGCGAAGAACCCCCTTTGGGATCAGCTCTACCTGCGCTGCTCGCCCTCTGAAGCCCCTCGGCTCCGGAACAGCCTCCGGCACCCGCCCTCTGCCCGCCCCCCTCATCCTTCCCTCTGCCTCCTCTCCTATGCTACCATCCCCTCTTCCCGGCCCCTGCCGCGTGTGTGCGCCCCCTCCCGCCCCCTCCCTCTTCCTTTCCTTCTCCCCATCCCCAACCCGCACCGGCCCGGAGGCACCGGCCCCTCCTCCGGCTCTCTCCGCTCCGCCAGCCCGCTCTAAAACCGCCCCTGGCGCTGGGCAGGGGCTTTTTGCTCCCATCTCGCTCTGTCCCGGCACGTTTATTTAGGCGCGCTTAATTATCGTCTGGTTCTTATTTTTGCAGGGGAAATTCAGCGCAGTTCTCTTGGATTTCCTGTTGCGGCGGAGGGGAAGAAAATCCCAACCTACTCGCCTTTTTTTCCTCTTTTTTCCCCCCTCTCCGCAGAGGGGTACGTGCGTGCGGGTGCGAGCAACGTGAAGTCCGGGCCCCGCTGGCCCCGCCGTGTCCGCGGCGGCGGCCGGGCAGGCTGGGGAGCACAAACGGCGGAGTTTCCGCCGCTGAAGCCCATCCCCGGCCAGGAGCCGAGCGGTGCCTGCTGACGGCGGTGCGGGACCGGCGCATCCCTGCGCGGCTGCTTCCCCGGTTCCCGCCGGGATAGCTGCAGGATGGGGAGACGGCGGTGGCTCTGGGCGCTGCGCGGCTGCTTCTTCCTATGGCTGGGTTGCCTGGCGCTGCGGACGCACGGAGCGGCCGGGCGGCAGCAGCAGCAGCAGCAGCAGCATCCACCACCGGCGCTCCGCGCTGCGGGAGGAGCGGGCGGCTCCTTCGCCGCCGCTGCCGCTTACCGGGAGGACCGGATCGGCCGGGTCCGCAGGCGAGGACAGCAGGACGCGCTCCGCGGGTAGGGACAAGGCTGAAACCCCGTCCCCGCCGTCTGTCCGATCACTCGGGCGTCTCCCCAGCCCCTTCCCCACGGGTGCCCTCGGTGGTGTTCGTGTAGCCCCCGCTGCCGCTCCCCTTCCCTCCTTTTTGTAGGGCTGAGGACTTATGGTTCACTGAATTGAGAGTCTGGTCCTTGGCTGTTGAATCTGGTCTCCTAATTAGTTGAATTTAATTAAAAGCAGACATTGTATGGGACTATTACAGCTAAAAGATGGACCCCATTGGGTTTCTTGATCCAGCTTGTTCTGATACTGTGATACTTTGACATTTTTGTTTTGGGTTCTACATAGAAATGGTGCAAAGTCTTTCTGGTTTTTTTCTGTTTTGGAGACTTCTTGGGTGTTTTGAATTAGTTTATTTGTCTTTATGAGCAGGCTTCCCTTCTGTCCTCTGTCAGATGACAGCATGAAGCCTGTTTTTATAGCAAGGCTTCTCAGACTTTGTATGAATGCAGAATCAAACTCATCCCTTCTTTATCCTCAGCTGCAGCAAAGATGAATGTGGCCTGCTCTTGCCTCATCCACCTCTCCTCTTTATACTGATCAGCTGAACTAACCCACAATAAAATGCCTTGGAGAAAGATTTTGTTTATTTGGGGAGGATTTTTTTTTTTTTTGTAGACAGCTTTACTATGCACTTTTTGTTTGTTTGTTTGTTTTATGCAGCTGAATTTTTCCCTTATGTATATGTAAAACACTAAATTCTCTTTGGAGTGATTAATATTTTTGCATATGTATTTATTGCTTTTTATGTGTTGCAGGCCAAATGTTTGTGGCTCTAGATTTCGTTCATATTGTTGCCCTGGATGGAAGACACTCCCTGGAGGAAATCAGTGCATTGTTCGTAAGTGTCTGATTCCAAGCTTCTACTGCTCAAGGGGTAACAATAAAAGTAGACATTCTTCTGTGAGTCACTGTTCCATTCAGTATGAGAAAAGACAATTGAGTTCTGTCTTTTACCTTATTTTTTAAAATGAGAAAAAGAGAAAAAAATCAAGATGGATTTACAGGTCCATGTTCCTTGTAACTGAAGGGCTGCCCAATTGCGTTGGTATGTTCATAAGAGACGTGTCTCCACCTAGTTTTTTTAAGAAAACCCATGACAATGAACAAAAAAAGGAAAAAAAGAGAAACCTTTGTTAAATCAAATACTTAACTCTAGTAACAGGAAAAAAAAAAAAAACCAAAAGGTCTTGCTATGAGCAGATCAGGTCTTGAAGTTTTCTGGAACTTGGAATTGCAGTCAAATAGGAAGGTTTTTTAACATCTAGGGTGTTTATTATCTTGTCTGTCATTTTTAGTTGTATGTTAATAGCTGTCAGGTGTGTAGACTGGCTGCCTGGTAATGGTAGATAGTAGGTGCTCTGCTGACAAATGTGACTTTGGACATATGAGGCTTGGCAAAAAAGAATTAAAAAAAGTTGTGTGTATGGGGAATGTGCTCATACTCTAGGGGGGGTGGGAGGGTGGGGGTGATGTCTTAGGGGATATTGTCTCTCTTGAAGTAGAAAATTTATTTTCTCCCTGTTAGATACAAGCTGATGGTAGACACACACGTCCTTCAGAAATTACATTTTCTGTCTGTTTCCATTCAYTCTAGCCTGTCGCTGTCTGTTTTGTTAATAAGTATGCTCAGCTTCAGAATTCAGCTTCAAGAATATATTGCCCTTTATGTAAGCAGTGGAGGTCTTTGTAATACTCCATCTAATAAATTGTAGACATACCGGGTGAAACTGGGGARGGAAAGGGTGATAAGCCATGGTCTGCCAAGCTTTTGACCTTCAGTGGCTTTTTTTTTTAATGATTACCAGGCTCTCCCACCTGCTCACATGTATTGGTTTTCCATGAGTAAACTTGCCTTGGTAATATTGGGAATAAATKCCATGTATCACTTACTTTCACCTAAAGTTGACCCAGAATTTCCCAGGATAACGGTGTCATTCAGAGGAAGATACTTTTATCAGTGTCCCTGTGGAATGAAAGAAGTTGCTCAAAATGATCTGTTCACAATTATCAACTCTTTCAATACTGGCTTGCTTTAAGGTAGAGTTTTTAGGAAGGATTAAGGCTGCCTGTTACACTGTTGATAGACTTTCCAGATTCAGCCRTGTGTCTGGTTCAAATGTTACTAGAGCCTTTCAGAAATCCTTGCAAGATACCCTTAAATTGTGACTCTCAGTGCTTCTTAAGGCCTTGGTCTCAGGTCTGTTCACATCCAGAATGATCTTTGATTATTATTAATTTGTGTGCACAAAGGACTGTTTCATCTCCTACTTACTGCCTGAAGTCTCATTGCAGCTTTCTATCATGTTTGGAGGGTGGATGATTTTGCCAGACCATCTGTAATATTGTCTGTGACATTTTTCTGTTTCTGCTTTTGGTGAAGGTTTAAGTGTGCTTACATTTAATGTCAATTGAGATGATGTTCTTTACAGCTAGAGTTCATCTAGGCAAAACCACCTACACAGGATGCTGTACAAGCTACCAAACTTCTTACTGGAGATGTGCTGATTATAGTTGATGCATAATGTAATCGGTGATTTTAAAAGTAACATTTGATGAGGAGAAATCCATAAGCCAGTCATAGATCAAAAGGAAGCCATTCTGACCGGACAGTGTTTCCAGCTGATGATGTGGTGGTGGTTGTTGTGGTCTGTTGTTTATTTATGATTAAAAGTGATCTTTCATCTAGAAATCAAAGGTCTTCTTAGATTGACTCTTTTGTTATATAGAATAAACTRTACTGGTGAAAGCATATTTAGGGTATGCTTTAAGGTCTAGAGCTTTTAGCTGATTAAAAAAATACTTCTTAACAGATAACAAACTGACAAAATGGACTAAATGTAAACCTTGCTTTATCAGGAGATTGAYCTGTGTTGCATAAAGATGGACTGAACAGGAATACATGAAAACAGCCTTGTTTCCTATGCTTGTCAAGTTCTCACTTTTGCTTCTGCTCATGGAGAAAATATTTCAAGTCAGTCCATAATCCCACAAACTCTTTCAGTTCTGCCTTCTCATTTGGGGCATAGTTGTAGGGAAATTTAATGATAAATGTAGACGATGCATGTTGTCTCTTTTTGATGCCTAGATAATGGTGTTGGCAAGTGATCTACTGAAGGTGTGTGTTCCATTGCAGTGCTTCAGTGGAGATGTGCTGCCAGATTATTTCATTCTCTCAAAACTTACAAAGAAATTGTGATTCTTGATTGGTTTGGTTTTTTTTTTGTTTGTTTGTTTCTTTTGCTTTACAAGTTGTTTCTCAATATGTGTCTTTTTTTACAACCTGTGCTGTGCTGGCTCTTACTCTTTCAGACTCTCTTGATGAGAGATTTACAAACTGAGCAGATTCATTTGATGTGTTAATTTAGAGCCTTTTAGCTCTTTTGTTTGTGATTCTGTTCACTCCTTTGTGCAATGGAGCTGTGCTGGATGGTGAGTTAGAGGGGAAGGCAGGACTTCAGGTCATAAGGAGTGTGGCTCATCATCAGGCACCTGACACACACTAATGGGGTGGACAAGCTCTGTTGGGGTTTTTATGGCCAGTTTCTAAATAATAGTGTGGGAATACCTGTGTACAGAAAACTACGTGTAGTGAAGCAACACAAAATCTGCAAAGTYCTGCATCTGGACATTGACTTCCCACAAAACTGCTTGGGTAAAGGGTGGATAATCTTTGGGAAAAAAAAAGATCCTAAAATGCCTTTAAAATAGRAATTAAAAGAATGAAGCCTGCAGCATAAATTGGCACTGTTTATCTTCATTCAAGTCTTGGATTCTTGGTAATATTTTCCGTGGGTCTTGTGGTCTGAAAGGCATATTTTTACTAATTTTACATTACTTGTGTAACTGACTAGTATTTCTAATTAGGGAAAGAGTTGATTACCTGGTTTCAATGGTCAGGTCAATGAATATGCCCTATTTGTTTGTGGTTGTCCTGAAATTTGTCAGAGATACTGATTATGCCAAAATTTGGTTTGCTTTAGTTAACTTTAAATTACCTTTAARAACTGTCCAAATGAAGTGAGTTTTCAAGTGTTGTCTTGTTTTTCCTSCAGTTTTAGACTCAGTTTACTGTTAATACCCATCACTATCTTTCTGTGTTTTCCCTCAGCAATTTGCAGAAATAACTGTGGTGATGGATTTTGTTCCCGTCCCAACATGTGCACCTGTGCAAGTGGGCAGATATCACCTACATGTGGATCAAAACCTGGTAAGGACTTACTTTATTTTCATTAGAGATTTCATTTAAAGTCATTCTCTTTAAGTTTCAATGAAAAAAAAACCCAACATCTTTGACAATAACTTGTCATTACTGCATACATGAATGTAAATTACGTTCCAGTAAGATATCTCAAGTTTTTGATCAAGTGTGATGCACCATGCATGCCATGGTTACTTTGTGTGACAAATTTTTTTTTAAATGTGCCTAAAGAGATAAGCAAGTTTGAGAGTGAATGTGTGCATTGTTTACATTTTCATGGAGACCATTTTTGTAAGAATTGGATATTGCACAGGCTCCAGTGKGATTAAAAGTTCCAAGTTGCTCCATAATAGCCCTGAAAACCCTGACAAAACCTCTTAATGGATGTACATGCAGTACATACAGCATAAATGATATAAAGCTCATCATTCAGATCACATTTCAGAGATCATACAAGGTCATTTTTCTGTGGCCTTTTGCTGCCTGGTGTGGTGTATTTGGCTGATTTTGGGTGTCTCCCTGCAGCGCAGCAGTGCAGCATCAGCTGCAGGAATGGCGGGATGTGCGTGGACCARCGGTGCCAGTGCCAGAAGGGCTTCTCTGGGGCCCACTGTGAACAGCGTAAGTCACTGCTCTGTCCCTTTTCACAGCAAAGCCAYAGGAGTTCTGCCAGCTGGACCTGTTGCTTTAGCTACAGGAGGAAGGTGAAAAAGCCAGTTTGCTGAAATGCAGTGAAATGCCTGGAAGAAATGCTGGGTTTGGGGTATGATGTTTAGCCAGCAGTTGGTTTGTGCATGAAGTGCTTTTGTATTGTCTAAAGTTCAAATTACAGCTTGGATTCTCCAAGCAGTTTTGAAAACCCTCGGGGAGCAATGTCACTGTGCTTCCCACTCTTCATACCAGATGTTCACTAGTTTTTCATTCTCTTTAACAAAGTTTTCTCTATCTTAGAACAATAGCTTTCCTGCTGGTTTGAAGCATGTTTTTCTGTTTTCTATTTGTCTAAAGAAAAAAAGATTGAATAGTCAAACCTTTTGGATACTTTTTTTGGGTTGGCAGACAAGCTAGAAAATCAATTATTTGCCCAGCTTTACCTGTAACAGTGTTTACAAGATGTTGCAATTTAGCAAACAGTAAAAAAGGCTGTAGGGAAGAAAGACTCAAAGTATATTCTGAGGCCAGCTGACTGCTAATTAGAGAAATTGTTTGCATAAAGTAGTCAGAACTAGAAACAAACACAGGGGAGCTATGCAAAAAAACAAATTGAATTTTGTAGAAAGTAATTTTTTTCCCCTTAGTTGTTTTTGCAAATGCGGGAAGGCAGTCTTGTTCTTACTTTATCTCTAGCTGGATAAAACTCTCTAAAATTCCAGCAAAGAGTTGTAACCCTAAACTGTGTCACTAGTCCCATGAAATTTTCTGTTAAGAGCTCCTGGTMCCTTCCTGCTGTTGTTCAAGTATTGGGTCAACACCTGAATTCTCAGATGAGGTATATTTCCAGTGAATAAATGAAAAGGTGACTGAATTTTCAAGTGGAGACCCTGAAGCTATCCAGAAAATCTAAACCARCTTTTGGGATTAGTTTCAGTGTATAGGACAGTTAAATTTTCAAGCAGGATTGCATATTTGTCTTCTAGACAGTCTTAAGAATGCATTTTTATTTCTATTTAGAAAAATGTAGGTAATTATGTTAATTAGCGAGACTGCTGAAGTGTCATTGTTCATTAATTTTACGTGTGCATTCTCAGTAAAAGCTAATTCTGTTCTGTGCTGCTTGGTAAGAAGTGAGGCTTTATCACAATTCTACATTATTTTGTGCTCCCCCCATGATATGCACACGTCCATTTTTCCAGTTTGAAATTATTACCTTCTCTAGGTTGCTGAGGTTCTTTTGCACTGGGTACTCAAATGTGTTGCAAATGACACTTTTAAACTGAGAATAYGTGTGTAGGAACACAGCCTAATGACTTCTAGACCAAAAATTTAAAAAAATTAAAGTTTTGTGACTGTCCTGTAAGATGAAATGTTTTGATTTTGAGCATGTGTTAATTTTTGACAGTTTTGAAGCAATGAGCTGAAGCATTGAGCCTGGAAATAGACACAATTAATTAAGGCACTGTTTTGATGGGTGTTTTTCAACCTCACCGAAGAGCTGTCTTCCTTTAGAAAATTTCAGTGGTTTGGCAGGAAGATTTGTTCTTGATTCAGACCATTGGTAATCAGCATGAGTGGGTGCTCTGAAGTCCCATGACAGTGACATATCTTCTTCGTCTAAATATACTGTGAATTTATGACCCTTTCCCCTCCCTCCCAGCAAAAATTTTATTTTTTGTTGGGATCTTTAAGAGACACAGTTTTTCCAGGTACTTTAAAGATGGGTTAAGTGGGCAGTTCTTTTCCCTTGCCTCTAAACATCACTCCTTCTTCCAGCAGCATCAACTCTGACAGATAATTATCTGTCTCTTGGTCTCCCCAGGCCTCGCTTCTTGAAAGGTTTCTTGCTGTTGTGACTGAGCAGCGCAATTTAACATGCTCCAAAAAACACCTGGAAATCTTGGAAATATAATATTGRAAATAATATTTGAAATATCATTGCCATGAGTTTTTAAACAWTTYTTTTTGTTTTGTCAATTGAAGCTGTCTGTGAGAATGGCTGTCAGAATGGAGGACGATGCGTTGGACCCAATCGCTGTGCTTGTGTCTACGGCTTCACTGGCCCTCAGTGCCAAAGAGGTAAAAGAAATTTAAGGAAGGAGACTGTGAACAGATTGTATACAAAAAAAATGTTGTGTGTACATGTTCTGTGCGGTGTATTTTCTGGCTCTGCCGGTGAGATTTCAGTAACCATTTTTTATTTTTAAGTTTAGGATTCATCTTCCTTTTTTTTTTTTTTTGTTTGGTAGACAGATTAAAAATTGACAAAGCCTAATTGGCAGGAATTTTGGCTAGTTTAGGCTATGTATTTTGTTCCTATGGTAGTTAAAAGATTGCTGTCTTTTGCTCTCAGCTACATGAAATAACAACTCAGCAAAATTGCTAGCAGTGTTAGGATTGTGTAAGTCAAGATAATCAAAGGATTTTTTTTCTGTATAACACCACTTCCTTAAGAGAAACTTGGGAAGTAATTTGCTCTGGTTAGTTGTGAAAAAGGCAGAGAAAAACTGAAAAAAATAATCAATTACCAGAGTACAGGGATCAATTCCTAAAGTCATTCTTATTCCAGAATGCATCTTAGAGGTGGCTTAATTGATAAATCTTCTGAACAGGTAGTTAGAAACAGCAATAAAGACCTTTTGAAACTTAACAAAACCCATTAAGGCTGGGTGAGCTCAGACCCTTCATGCAGAGTAAGTTCTCCATCTCCCTGGCATATTTGGTGGCTCTCCCATGGACTTTGTCCAGTGTGTCCATCTTTTTCATGCGCTGAGCCTCCAAGACTGGACATTGTGCTTGGATGCAGTTCCTTGAGTGGCCAATGCAGACTCAGGACTACATCCCTGTGGTCAAGTCTGCCCTCAGCCTGACACAGCCCACACACCTCCTTCTCATTCCTGTGATTAGAAATAGGATTCTGAAGGGAATACTGTGGAATTCCCTGTTTCAAATTTAGCTTTGAAATACTCAAAGCTGTCTACAAATTGGGAAAATGTTTTTGGATTTTAAATTTTTTAAAATTTTTCTTTAACATTTATTAACTATGAAGTCGAAATAATTTCCACAGAGGTCAAGGAAATAAAAAACCCAAATACTGAAAACTCAGGAGTTTCTATTTGCTATTCCAGGTTGTTTTGTATACCCACTAGGTATCACAAGCATGACAGGAATGTAAGGGATCAGTTTGTTTGTTTCTAGTTGGTTGTTGTTTTCATACTTAGAACCTGATTTACAGTTTTCTATTTACCCCAGTCTCTCTATAGTTGCTTCTTATGAAGCAAGCACAAGGACTCAAATCCTATATGGTTTGGTTAGTGGAGAAATATGAAGCAGTATTTTGTTAAAAAATTGTTAATACTTGTAGTCATCTTATAGCCATATACAGAGATACGTCTCTGCAGARTGTTCACATGTCTAAAATAAGAGACTACTAAATCTTCCTGTGCAGAATGGATTTTCAAGGGATAATGCTAGGTTAATTTACAGTTTGAGCTTTACTTCTGAAGGATCTTAACACTGCAGATTCTGCAGTCTGGGCTGTGTGTCCAAGATGGATTGCAGTTATAGCTGAAATATGGCATGATAGAATTGTAATATTCAATAAAGGAAATCATTACTGGTTAAGATATGCTTCTGTTCTGTGGCAACATCCAGGGCTGTGGAATCATGTTAATGCACATGACAGACTCCAGCTGTGATGATGATTCAGAGATTCTATTAATGAAATTTATAAACAGTTTGACTTTGAAAATTTAAAAGATTCTAGTACATACAGGTGCTGCAGCTTAAACTTTGTGAAGATTGGAGGGTTGAAATTTGCTTCCTTACCATTCATTGTGAAATTCTTAGCTGCAGAATTTAAGCCACATACAGGAATTAAACCCTCAGTTGGCATTCAYATTTCCCAGCTGCCCTTGAAACTCCTGGCTTTTCAATTGTGTGTAGGATACTCTTGCACYCCAAAAGTTTGCCTGCATTATGGTGTCTTTGAAAATTGAGTTGTTTTAATTAGAGATTTATATTTTATTGCTTCAAAMTGGAGGTAATGAGCCAAATTTGCTTCTGTCATTGTCAAAAAATACAGCACATACGAAGTTTATGTAACAACTATCTGATAATTGATCTACTTTTTCCACTGTGATAGGGCTAAATAAGATTTTGCCTGATCTTGATGTTGCATAGACGTTCTCATATTCAAATAAAGAAGCTATTAATTAATTTTACTATTACTGTTAATTAATTTTGCTATTAAAGAAAGATGACTCATCTTGATAATGACTATAGAAAGTGTTTAAGTATTAATTTTGTGTATGCTTCACAGGAGTGGAGTACATGAAAAATGCTGTAAAAGATGTCTTAAATGCCTATTTAGTTAAATAGTAATTTGTAATTTGTGCTTTTAATGTAATAATATATGTTTTCYAGTACATTGCAGAATGCAGTGATTTCTTCATCTGTTGTTTGCTAGAGCTGCTTACAATATTTTACAGCAAGAAGTGKCTCAATGGTTTAATTTTAAACCAAATTTAGCAGCAGTCCATTACTCTTTAAGTAAAATTTTATAGTTTAAGGGTGTGAACTTCCCTTGCAAATCACATCAGTTACAAGAGATTTTGKTTTTTTATAATTTTTACATCATTTTGTTCTAAATGCATACTTTTTATTGCTCTTGTAAATTAATTTCTTAAAAATTAGGTATTTTCTTCTTAATACAGAACATATGTAGCTTTCCTTCAGCTTGGCCTCCCRGCCCAAGCTGTATGATAAAATGTGGCTGGTTTTTCAGCTATCTGGGCTCCGAGCAGACTAATTTCCGGGCTGGAGACAGGAGGCTGAGCAGTAACTAATGACTGGCATGATTAGAGTATTTAACTTGAGGCTTTCTGCTGAGTTAAAAGGAGAGAGCAAAACCTGTTTGGGAGCTCTTGCTTTTTCTGATACATACACTGACCTCTTGTATTACCTCTCAAATGTGATCTTTGGTCAGCTTCTTGTCTTTGGTTTGTAAGCGCAAAAGATTCCAAGGTTTTTGTGTGGTGTTTTTAAAGGGAAAAAAAAGGTTTAAATTTATGCAGCTGAGTTTTCCCAGTGAAAATAATAGAAAAAAAGAAAAAGCAGTAGAGTATGAGGTCTCATTCTCAGTTGTATGCTTAAGGGCCTTTTTTTTCTAGCATGACCAATTCCTTTGATTTCTCAAGATGGTAAATGATACTTGCATTACTGCTCATGGCCTGTGCATTTTTTAAATTTATAATTTTTAGAGATATGAAGCTGTGAAAAAGCAAGGATGTTTTCTTCCTTCTTTATCATGGGATAAAGGAAGGAAGAAGTGGGAAAGGCAAATCTTGTCACTGATGTAAGTTTGCCTTTGTCCCATACAGAGGGAGAAAGAAGAGTTCTCCTTTAGTCTGTGCTTAAATAGCTTGTAATGGTCAGCAGATGGGTCTGGAATGTGTGGCTTGTGAAGGGCATCCATTTGAAGAGGGAGGAGGATTTTGGATCCTATCAAGCTTTAACAGGTGAGAAAGAGGGAAAAACAAGGAAATAGCAGCCTTCCAATACCTAAAGGGGGCCTAGAACTGATCTGGAGAGGGATGTTCTACAAGAGCAGGTAGAGATAGGACAAGGAATGATGGCTTTAAACTGCCAGAGGGCAGGGATGGATGGGATCTTGGGAAGGAATTGTTCCCTGTGAGGGTAGGGAGGCCCTGGCACAGGGTACCCAGAAAAGCTGTGGCTTCCTCTGGATCCCTGGAAGTACCCAAGGCCAGGCTGGACACTGGGGCTTGGAGCAGTCTGGGATAGGGGAAGGTGTCCCTGCTGATGACASGGGATGGAACAAGCTAAGCTTTAACCAAAACCATTCAGTGACACTAGGGTTCTATGAACATAACATTAGAACATCTGAACGGGGACAAATTTTGGGTTGTACTCAGGAAATCTTTGCTATGTTTTAGCCCCATGTGTGTATTGCTGCTGATATTCCCAGAAAAAGTGTCTGGACACTTTTTCTGACAGAATTTTGGGGGTTTTTTGGAGTTCTTTTTGTCAGTGGAAGGAGTTAAGAGCCTTTACCTCGTGACAGATGTGGTAAATCAGTGATGGGGCAGTGCCCTTCCTGCAGATGCTTACTGGGTTAATAGGCTCTCTGTAGGTAGAGGCAATAGAAACCCTCCATKGTGCAAGGCAGCAATTTTTGTGTTACTTTTGCAATGCCTATAAGAACTTGGCCCATGTAATTGAAAAATCCTAGGTGGGACAGGAACATATAATGAAGTGGCTCTGGGTCTGAAGARCAGATAGCTGCAGAGGGTAGTGAAAAATTGAGGCAGAAGATAAAGCTGGCAGAGGTTCATTTTGCTGCATACGGGAGAATACATCTGGCATTATTTTCCRGTTGAGAAGGCTCAGATGAAAACTGATCTCAGTGTAATCAGTGATGGTCCCATGTCTAAGGACAATAGAGGAAAAATGAGAAAAAAGACAAAAGGTTTTCCTTCAAGGTGGGAAGAGAATGGAGAAGCTTATCAGCAGCACAGAGAAAAAAAGTAGGAAGAAGCAAAAAGCATTCTCAGTGGAAGTATTGTTAGTGTATAGTAACTGAGGCAAAAGAGTGAAGAATRAAGAATACAGAGCTGAAGTGGAGGCATACTGAAGCAGCTGTTAGGCTCAGAGGTTATAAAGATTCTTGGGGATAATAGGTGTGGTTAAAATTAAACTAGTACAGCAAACTGACAGATTTATATAGGACTCAATGCTTCTTAAATACAGTTTTATTATAAAGAAGCATTACAATAAATATTTAGTCTGTAGTGTAGCTAAAGATGCTTGTGTGTGCTCAAGAAGCTGTGATCAGGTCTAAATGAAGCAATAGAAAATGTAATTCATTAAGGAACTACTTTCTCTGACAGATATTTAGAAGATCTCCTTACTTTACACAGCTTTTCCTGTCTGTTGATCCTAACAGTACCATGAAGAGAACAAAATTCATACTTTTGGCATTCAGACTTTGCCTGTTTGGTCTTAGCCCTGTAATCTCAGAAACTGGAGAACTTCTTGCCATGGAGGCTGTGACAGGT